TTAGCAAGACTGTAGGCATCGTAGTCTCGATCAGCAGGATTATAGGTAGGATACTCTCCATCAGCAGGATAGTAGGTAGGATAATCTTCATCAGCAGGACTATAGATAGGATACTCTGCATCTGCAGGACTGTAGGTATATCAGCAGGATTGTAGGTAGAATACTCTCCATTTTATTAGGAGCTCTAGGTAGGATATTCTCTGTCAGCCAGAAATGTAGGTAGGATGGTCTCCATCATGATGGGATCATCAGAAGTGAGAGACAATCATGTACAGCTAACTATAACCAACCTCTCAGAACAGTAAACTTAGATTTGGAAAGAACAGATCTCAAAGTTCAATTGACAAGAATGTTTTATAGAGAACAGGGATTTGTACTTGGAACCTCTTATAGCGATGTGTATTAACATAGATGAAATATAAGTTGAATCAGAGCTTTCTCAAAATATAGCTTTTCTTTAAGAATAGTTTAACGAAGAAGAATTGTTTATGAAATCCTTTTAGATCCAATATTAGATGTTAAAGTATTACATTGTCTCTACTAACATTGTCTGAGACATGTGCTGCTGACAAAGGCAAGTAATAGGCCACTTTCACTTTCCAATTCCCAGATAAGTCTTCTTAGAATATCTTCTAGTAACATGTATATATCAGTATAACAAAATAGAAAAGTACTATCTTGTACTAGTAGTATTGATCTAAAAACTCTAAACAGTATGTTTCAAGTACAGATATTTCTGAAACAGTGATGTAAGACTTTGAAGTGTTTAGTGATGCTAAAAGGAAAGTCATTTCATGGAAGACAGTTTTCTTAGTCTGGAGAAGGATGTTCAACTATGAACACTTTGAAGGAACTAGTTCTTTGTGGTGGGTGCTCTGACATACATAGTAGTATGTTCAGAAGACGTTTATCATCTCCTCACAGATGCGGTACCATTGCCCAGCTGTCACAGACAGACCTTTCTTCAGATGTTGCTGAAGGTATTTTGAAAGACAAAATCCTTGTGACTTTACAACCACAGATATAATAACACTGAATGTGTCTGTTTTCCACAGAAAGAAAGGCTTTTATTTAATACAATGTCTTCCGTGAACCTTCATTGAGTGTTGCTGATTTGATATGCTCTCCCTTTCAATGAGTCAAACTCTCTTATGCCTGAATTAGCTTGACCAATTTCATTAGCAATCTCACACCCACTAATCCCATTAATTTACTTGGTGTCAGAGAATCCCCTTTGGCCTGTAGTTTTTCTATCAACATCACACTTGCCCTAACGAGTAGCTTGCATACTGCAGAAAGCCAAGTGAATGTTTGTACTAGTGCCAGACTCATACCTGAAAGTAGAATTCTTTCAGTGCTCCTGGCTAAGAAGCAAGAATTTCTTTCTGAATTTTTTCAGATCTCTTTTGAGTACTTTGAACTAATGAAAACCTTGTAGAGATACAAAAGTGCAGTAAAACAAAGTACAACAAACGTCTACATTTTTTTCATCTAAAGTAACATACCCAGCTATGGTTGTAGGTTTTTTTAGAGTTGTATGTGACTTGTAACATTTTATAAAGGCATGGATAAGAGGAATAATGTGTATGTAATAAATGTAGTAATGTAGTAAATGTAGTAAATGATTTCTCTGATGTGTAAAGCAAAACTTCTTTCCAAGAATAACTAACCAAACTGACAAGGCTACTTTGTGAACAAAAAAATGGTAATCGACAGGAAATCTCAGCCCAAAAGAGAGAGATTGTCATCATGTGTGCCATATTATATAGAGAAATGAAACACATATATTGCTATACTTTAGGTCTCTCCATACAGTTCATCATACTACTATAATCAATATCTACAAAAATTATTTATTTGGATTCTTAATCTGACTTACTGATATCATACAAGAGGCCCAAATGCAGGCTACTAGACTGAGAAATGTTTAGAATACCAGATTTAAGAGATGCTCATTCCAGTCACTTGTATTTCAATGTAATGCATCAGCATACAGGATTTTCCTTGGGTTATTTCTTAACATAACTTGGGAATGTCACTGCTCTAATTTAACACCATGATGTAATTCTTGTTCAATATTTTTTTAAAACAAAATGAGTTTTGTGTAGCAAAGGTCTCACTAGATGCATATAGTTATTTCTCTATGGAAAATGAAAGAGCCTGCAAAGATGGAAGGAAAGAAGCCACAAACACACATATATGTACATACATGAATACATACACATATTCACACATAGACAATCACATACACTTTCATAAAGGTAAATCTTTTATATTATTTTATGCTTACATTAATTCATTCTTTCAACTCCATGCTGTTTGCTTACCACAAGATATATTTTATTTAAAACATTCAATATATTAATTGGTGACTATTATATATACTTATCATGCATGGCATGATTTTTTCTTTTTTATTTAAATTATAAACAAACTTGCTTCATATATCAATTCCAGCTCCCTCTCCCTTCCCTCCTCCCCCACCTCCCCCACCAGGCCCCTCAGCTCCCTACTCAATCCCCACTCTATTCCCCAGAGAGGGTGAGGCCCTCTATGGGGAATCTCCAGAGATTCTTTTTTTACTTCATTTTAAAAAATAACTTAATTTACATCCCAATTGAAGTTTCCCCTCCTTCCTCTCATCACATTCCCTTCTCATACCTCCCCTTAACCCCATCCCCTCAACCATCTCCTCCTCTGTTTTTTCAGAAAGGGGCAGGCCTCTCATGGGTATCAATAAAGCATGGCATATTAAGTTTCAGAAGTACTTGCACCTCCTCTTGTATTTAGGCTGAGCAAAGCAATACTGCATAGGAACAGGTTCCCCAAAGCTAGCTAAAACATTAGGAATAGCTCCTAATCCCACTGTTATGAGTCCCAGGAGTAGTCCAAGCTACACAATTGTCATATATGCAGAGAGCCTAGGTCAATCCCATGCAGGCTTCTCAGTTGTTGGTTCAGACTCTGAGATCCTATGAGCCTAGAATAGTTGTTTCTGTGGGTTTACTTGCGATATCCTTGGCCCTTCTGACTCCTACTATCATTCCTCCCTCTCTTCAGCAGAATTTCCTGAGCTGAGCACAACATTTTTAAAACTTTACATATTATGAATTTCATAAATTGAGTATTTAACATAGTCATTACTTCACACACTTGTCAAGAAGTCTACTCTTTCAATTTTCAAGATTATGCCTTTTTACCCTCAAAGATCACACCCTAAAACTTGGAAACTCTGTGTGTGTGCATACATGCGTGCGTGCGTGCATGCGTGTGTGTGTGTGTGTGTGTGTGTGTGTGTGTGTGTGTGTTGGGGGGAGAGTATGTGTTCATGTACATGTGAAGGAAAACTAATGTTTCAGACTGTTCAATGGTTCTGTGTATGGTCAGCATTGAAATGTAGACATTCTTGCCTTTGAGTAATGAAGAATGCCTCTGCATTAGTGCCAGATGGTTTCTAAGTAAATTGTGAGTGTTCCCAAAAATACTGTTTAAAGATGTGGCAATTGCTTATATAGAATCAGTATCGTCTTATGATGTAGCATTTTTCAGAGTTACATATACATAATGATATGTTGGCAATCTACACAGATGACCAGACATAAGCCTCGTCATTTGAGTCAGTGACTCCGCATTTCTCTACCAACGCCAGGACACACAGTGTGTACTGTAGGTTCTTATTGGTTGGCCATCTGTAAAGCATTCACAGTGACTGTTTATTATTATTATTATTATTATTATTATTATTATTATTATTATTATTTTAGAATTTTCACCTGAAAGACCTCATGATTTTACTGCTACAAAATGATTTTCTTGTAATAGTCACTTATATTTTGTGCTGATAGAATTCTTTAAAATGAAAAGATAGCTAAAGAAGTACAGTAATGACCACCATTACTCTAGCATACTACCTATACTAAGCATACTACCTATACTAAGCATGCTACATATACTAAGCATACTACCTATACTAAGCATACTACCTATACTAAGCATGCTACATATACTAAGCATACTACATATACTAAGCATACTACATATACTAAGCCCAGATATTTATGTCACTTCCTGACAGAGAAAAGTGTGGTCAGTTCACCTCATTTTAAGCTTTTGCAGAAAGTAGGAAAGCATACTATTAAATATAAATCCAGAGCTGAACCTAAATCCTTTTTTTACATGGAGCAGTGATAACATAATCAACTTGATCATTTATACCACTGGCATCAGTCTTTAGGCTATATTATTCCCTTTGTCTATGTATGAATTATAATAGATTTTCAGGACGCACAAGCATTATAAAGATCCAGAGACAGGCAACTGATAACATTTAAGAGTTAAACAGAGCACTAGTCATTCAAAAATCATTGTAGTTAGAAAATCATATTCTCTTTTTAAGAGCACCCACTTTAAGTAATATACAGAGCTAAGGTTCCACTCTGAAATAAAGCTGGAAGTATAATATCCAGGAGTGAATATTTTTGTTGGGTCTCTTGCAAGGTTTTTCCTATTATGTTATTGCCTTAAAATTTAACCTTAAAATCCAGTTCCATATATTTGCTCTATCTTGGTGAACTGCTCATATGCATTCAGGCACTGCCCCAGGACTTCTAACATACATGTTGTTCTGTGCTTGGTGGTAAAAATTTAAATGTATCTCTTGGGTAACATGGGAAAGGACTCTAGGCATCTACAATACCACTTTTACAGGTTCTTCTAATAAAATTTATTGATTCATATTTTAGTGTTTATGTATAAGATGCTGTGTCAGGGAGCATGTGTGTTGTGGAACACTTGTGTCAGTAAAAAGGTAACTTTGTGGAGTCAATTTTCATCTTCCATCTTTCCATGAGTTCCAGAGAATGAACTTAGCCTTTTAGGTTTGTGCTGCAAACATGCTTACTCTCTGTGCCTTCTTTCTGACCCTGTATTCTTGGATTCTCAGTAAATGGCCTGAAATGATGATGATACTAAAATTCTTGTGTTTTTTCCTTCTTTCACAGGATTATACACTCACCATGTATTTCCAGCAGTCTTGGAAGGACAAGAGGCTTTCATACTCTGGAATCCCATTAAACCTGACCCTTGACAACAGGGTAGCTGACCAACTCTGGGTACCAGACACCTACTTTCTCAATGACAAGAAATCATTTGTGCATGGGGTCACAGTGAAAAACCGAATGATAAGGCTGCATCCTGATGGAACTGTCCTCTATGGACTACGGTAAATGCTTTCCTAATGCCTTGCTTTCTGTCACTGTTTTGTTTCCTAGTTTTATAAGTTGGCAGAAGGGAGAGAAGCAAGGAAGAGATAGGCTTATAAGCATAGCCAGCATATCTTTGGCCAGAAAAATCTTGCAGTCTGTTTAAGCTCAAAGTAGACAGCTTTGTCCACCAAGTGTAAGTGAGAAGTTTTTGTCTTGACCACCAAATAATAAACAAAGCAGCAAAATTTGTCATTGGAAATAAATTTAAAGTTATATCCTTTTTCGCCAATTGTTTGATTATCTAAGAACGAATCAGACAGAACTGAGATAGGCTTTGAGTGTTGCATATCATTTCTTGATTAAGAAAGAAAACGAAACAGTTTTTGAAGGAAATGGAAATTGTGGGGCAACTTTGAGAAAAATCATAATAGTTTCATTTCCTTCACTTTTTTATATTTTAGCCTCTATATTTAGGTTTATAATTCAATTGATCTATAAACTGTTTTGGGACATTTTGCAAGAGCTCCAGATTGGGGTTCAGTTTTCCCAGAGAGTTTAGTTTATTTGGGTATCATTGGCTGAAAAATTTTTTTGTTTGGATTGTGCTAATAACATTGATTAAATACATAGGAGGATTTTCATACAGTCATCTGTGTCCCACTGTTCTATTTATTTAGACCCACACAGGGTCATTCTCTTTTAATTCAGGTGGCTCTAAGCCAAATCGTGGAGGCAAAATGTATATCACTTTTAATCTTATATTTATATTTTGAGTTGTTTGAAAGTTTACATTCTTCATGTGTTACTATAACTTTTAGAAACCAATTTGTCCCATCTATTACATAATGCCCATAAGTCTATTATGAAGAATTGCTGAGTCAATTGGTTAGTAAGGGAATAATTAACATAAAAAAATTACAAAGCTTTCTAACACATGAATATATCTTTCATTTCTTTGGGCTATCATTCATTTATATCAGCTACTTTCTATATCATAGTTGTTTTTATGACTCAAGTAAAAAGACAATTGTGTCTTTGACTTAGGTCAGCAATGTTTTATACACTTACAACATTTCATTTGATTTTTCTTATTTACTAAGTCATAAAAATGTTATAAACATGTATAGATGGCTACTGGTGTAATTGAAGGCTTAATAATTTAAAAAACTAAGCTTTGTTTCAAAAGTTACTTCTTTTATCAAAACTGCAACTAAATTGTGACTTGTTTAAAACTTGGGTATCACCTTGGAAAGTTCTTTTAGAAGCAAAATATTTAGAAAAAGCAATAGACTTTATCACCAGTCCATTGCTGGGGAGCAAAAATGTAGCTATATGTTTGGGAACAATGAAGGTCACAGTCCCAGTTTAGACATTCACCTCAGGCATTTTAGAAATTATTGGCAGCATCTAACAATGGGAACTGCATCAAGAAAAATAACACTGGAGAACTATGAGGTTGACACACATTCATTTTACAACTTTAAATGCTGTGCTCTGGGCATGCTATGGCTGTGGGCCACATGTATTCACAACAGACACGATCACACCAGTTAAAAATTGCAATATTCAGTGGGAAGGGAATCTCTAAACTATATCCCTGGCTGAGAACTACAGTCATTGATGGCTGCTGAAGGGAGAAAAGTTACTTTTGTCTGGAAGTATCGTCACTGGTAGGTTCCCCTCAGTAGATGATGAACCACCAATATGAATATATATAAAATTGTTAGGGAGGACATGAGGTTGTAAGGCAGAGGTGATGGGAGGGTCTTAGAGGAAGTTGGGAGACGTATGAGGAATGATATGATGAAGATGCATTATATAAAATATACTAAATTTTCAAGTAATAAATTAAAAAAGGAGAGAAAATTGAGACACATATGGCCTATGGTTTGTCTAAGGCCACCAAGAAACAATGGCAGAATTAGGACCAAAATTCAGGTATCCTTCCTCTCAAATCTTAGTTTATCAATTCTATTCCCATTAAAATATACTTAATAATAAATATTCCCTTCCAAGTTAAACAGCACTGTTTTCTACTCTTTAGAAACAATCCAAGCCTGTGTAGACTTTAACTTTTGAACAGACAATAATGACTATCCAAAGAGAAACACAAACTATGCATCCATCGCAAGAATTCCAATCTCTTCATAGAATACTCTTTCTCATCAAGGACCTGATCTCCACTTTAGTGTGTCCCCTTCCTTCTTTTCTTCTCTTTCATCTTCTTTGTTTTTTTCTTTCACCAGAAGCTGTTATCACCCAAGAGACCAAAAGTTTAATAGAGACTATGTGATATCTGAAGCTAGAGGACAGACGTTGGGCTTGACATTCACACATTTCTGATTCCTTGACCTTGAACAAATATACAAATTTGATGAGCCTAAGTGTTATCATATGTAGTGAAAGCTTAATATTCCCTAACTGATTATTGAGATGACCTTAAGAAGTAATTACTATGAGAATGAGTACATAGTATGTTCTGAATCATAGTTCTCTAAATTGTGCTTCATAGGATGCTGTAAATTTGACTTCTGATTGGCTCTCTAGTTCCTGGAAATACTAATGATTAGAACACAGATGCAGTTGTCCAATTAAGAAAACACTCAATGGAGTGCTCCATATGTGCCTCCATTCACTATTCTGACCCTGAGAATAGTTTTCCAGGAGTCAAGGGGGCTTCTACTGTGGCAGAGCAAGCAGCATCTGGAAAGGAGGGCCAAGAAACTCTCAGTTTACACAGTCCCCGTCCCATAGTCAGCCATTTGCACTCCTTGGGCTTCCATCACATTTCATTTATCATCCTATCTACCAAATCCCATTCACTTTAATTCCTTAGAGATAACATTTCCTAGTTGTAAAAAATGAAGATCTGTCTGATTCTCATAAAAGCTTTTTAAAAGAATATCTATCATTTGTCATTCTTAAGCACACAAAGCAGGAAGTCCTTATCATCTAACATACGTTTTGGCGTCTTCAGGACTGTACAGTACTTATTTTAGACATGAGTAATTGAGACAATGATGCTGATGGCTTTATCCATTTTCATAAGTCCAGATAATAGTCATTGTGAATGGACCCATATATTAACAACTAATTTTAGCAATGGTTGGATTGATGTACCCAAAGTCCCTCAAGCCTGCTTTTCCATGATCATAAAACATTTTTAAATTAAATAGATTTTTCTGATTTCAAACTTAATATGAGATGCTGTTATTTTTTAAGTTCTATGAAAGTACAAGATCTTTTAAAAGCACTCTAAGTCAGATTTTACACCAACATGTAGTACCTTCTCCTGTAAGTACTAGAACAGAATGGCATATGATATAGGATAATACTGCATCACCAGGCTACTATATAACAGGTCTCTAGCACACCAATACTTATGCACTTTGCTCTTGAGTGACCTCTGCTGTGAGAAATGCATTATTCTAAGGGGAAATACTGTCACCACTATTACATCTTTTTAAATAGAAGTTGGTGTCTAATCTATAACCGTGAACCTCCTCATATCCACTAAAGCCAGCAAAGTCATTCATTTTCTTAGCAAGTCCCTCAATGCCGCATATCAAGTCCTTAAAATTCCCCTTCCTTTCCTCCTGCTCTGTATTTTTTTCTAAGGAAGATTTCTCTTTTCTCTAGGTTAATGTCTTAACAATAGCATCTAATCTTATTATTGCATGGTCTTTAGACTCAGCACCATGTTTTGCTTACATCTTCAGACCTTTCTTTGTATTGATTTCTTTGCTTTGGTTTTTCTCTTTGAGTTCCAATCTTCTCACAAACTTGATTTCCTCTCCTTTATAACTACTCACTCCTCAGTTCCCATCAGCAAGGCTCCTACCCATGCTACTTGCTTAAGCAGCTATGCCAATAGTTACTAAAGTCATTGCTCACTCTCTGCTTGACTTCTTTGGATGATTTCATGATGACCGGTACTGACTCAGGGGTTTATCTTTTATCTCTAATGTGTGCTGTAGCAGTTATCCCAGCTTTGACCTGCTCACTTAATTGAACAATAGTAAGTATTTAAACCCCCAACAGTAGCAAGAGCCAAGGAAAGTTTTGTAATTGGGTACCCAGTATCTGATTTTGAATGTTCTGCCATTCTACCTAACACACTGCTTATTACATGTCATTTGTTTTTCTTCCATACTAGGACAGCCTCATGTCCCAAGCGATAGTAAAGCCATCAGCATCTTGGTAACTCAGCACAAACTGCTAGACATCTTCATCCCTGAGACCTAATGTGTTACCTCTAACCTGTGCTGTTTAACCATTTCTCCTGCTTACAAACCATTTGTTCCATCTAAATTAACAGCTTTACTCACCATCTATCATTCTTTGGCCATTTTCCTTGCTCAGTTTTTCTACTTATTTATCATTACCATCAGGACTCTTCTCCTAGAAACCTCTTCCCTGGCACCCAAATTTGGTTTCAATTCTCTGTCTGGAGTCCAAGAACGTCTAGCTGTTTTCCTAAATATCTCTAAGAGATTTCAAGTTAAATTATGCACTGAATATTGAAAAAAATCTGCAGAAAATTATAATTTAATGGGACAGCATAGATGCACATTACCGCAACTCTTGTTTGTTGAAAGACCTCCCTTCTCTGCCTGAAAATGGATAGTCTATGTGTGCCTGTGTCCACACTTCCTCCTTCATGTGGGCATCACTCCTCCCCATGATAACTCTTTCCTATTTTCCTTCTTTGTCTTGAAATCACCCCTAGATTTCTTCAATGGAGAATACACATTCTTCCTATCCCAGAGGAAGACTCACTTCTAACACATCACAATTTAGTCTCACCAAGAGCTCTGGATTTGCAACTCTTTTGCAACACTTGTATTTTCTGTGTCTTGGAGATGGTCATTTTTTCTGTAAAATTAAAGAATGCATAATTGTTGAATATACAAACTGTATTTCCCTAATCTCTCCAAACTAAATGATCGCCCTGCAAATGTTTGTAAAAGCAACATTAATATGTGCATAATGCACTTACCTGACTCATAGTCATCGG